CTTGTGATGTTTGTGGACAAAGATTTGGCCAAAAGGCGAGTTTAAACTCCCACATGAGAATCCACACAGGGGACAAACCATTTCTGTGTGACGTTTGTGGACAAAGATTCAGCCGAAAGTCAAATAAAGACTCCCACATGAGAATCCACACTGGAGACAAACCTTTTCCTTGTGATGTTTGTGGGCAAAGTTTTAGACAAAAGTCAAGTTTTAACTCGCACACGAAAATCCACACACGAGACAACCCATTTTCTTGTGATGTTTGTGGACAAAGTTTTAGCCTTAAGACGAGTTTAAACGCCCACATGACAATCCACACTGAAGACAAACAGTTTCCCTGTGATGTTTGTGGACAAAGATTTAGCCGAAAGTAAAACGTAAACTCCCACATGAGTATTCACACAGGAGAAAAGTGTTCAGCTGTAAAAAAAAAAACACAGCAGCTCCTAAAGATCCACATGAGGTCACACAGAACTGAACACAAACAGTTCCAATGTTTATTTAATAGTTTATGTAGTGAGAAAATACAATCTCAGATGTCAGTTACTGTTCTGTGTATTTTGTAAATTTTTAAACATTCCTGATATGTCACATATAGATCAGACTGTTTTACATTATGTAATGTCAAAAAGTATGAAGTATAGTTTTTAGTCCTATTTTATAACTGACTGTAAATAATTCAGTAGGAATTCAGCTTTTTTCAGCTTTTTTAAATGCATCGTAGTCCCTCCCACTCCCAGCTTGAAGACCCGCCCCCTTCACTGCTCGTCCACCAAACTGTCTGAATTTGTGTTTCAGAGAAAGGACAACGGCAGCTGACAGAGAAGGATTGGTTCAAAAGAGGGATAAAATGCAGATGGAATAAAGTTTATTTGCCATAAAAACATTTGTTCTTTTATTTTACATTGTTCTGTTTTAATAGCACCTGAGATCAGTATCAGCCAGTGTGTCTAAAACATTATCATTTAATTAGTAAACTGAATGCTGAATTCTACAGAAAATTTTTGTTTGATTTTGCAGATCTTAATATGAACTCATATCCCTAACTTTCTAACTGCTGATAGAATAATTTACTTATTTTTGTAACCAAGTTGTAGTTAGCAATATAATCATAATAATAAATACTATAAAAAATAAAATAATATTGTGAAGATAGTGTTATTTTTATCATCTCTTTTATTACAAGCTTTTTAAGTGTTTGCTGCTCTTACATTTTTATTCTGAGTATTCTTTAAATGGGGTTTATCTACGCCACCTGACTTGAAACAGTTACCGCCAAACTAGATTTAAAGTTAAAAATGTGTTGATATTTTGAAGTCACATAAACGATGAGCTTGTGAGACGATACTCCAGCACATATAGGGGTAAGAGGAAATGAAAAAGCAGATAAAACGGCAAAGAAAGCAGTTCAAAGTAACATTAACATTATAATTAAGACAAGTAAAACTGAAGCAAGAAGCATAATTAAAGAAAGAGTGGCAGAAGAGATGGAGAGAGATAACAAAAGGAGGTGGTTTTATAAGATCCAAAGGGTGGTAGGAGAAACGAGAGCTGAAAAGAAGAAAGAGTGATAACAAAGTTGAGATTTGGACATGCAGGACTTAATTATACAC